TAATGTTTTCGCCATATGGCGATGGCAAGTTGCAGGGCTGTCGGCCAGGACTTGCCATGCAAGCTGCTTGGTTCCTCGGAACGGGCTTGCATTTTGCTGGTGCCCTGAACAGGGTAGCTACCAAAGGTAGCCGGGCGGTCATAGACACGCTTGCCGACTACGCAAAGCAGACTTTGGACTCTTGCGCCACGAAGAAGAAGAAGTAGTAGTAGTAGTAGTCTAGTAGTGGTGGCAGCAAGCAGGAGTAGTAGTAGTAGTAGTAGTTATAATGATAATCATAAAAGCCTAGTAGCCAAGAGAGCTTCCAGTGATCCTGCTTTGTTGCTGAAGGCGTGTCGATTGAACTTCCCATAGCTTTTATGCTATAATGTTATAGGGGTATTAGGGATGTAATGAGAGTCTATAGAGGGCACAGTAATATGAGGCAAGATCTTCCGCCACATGACAAGTCTCTTGAAATAGGAATATCTAAAATTTCTGGAATATCTGAAATATCTGGAATATCTGGAACATCGGAATGTCTGGAATATCTGGAACATCTGGAAGATTTTGGAATATCTAGCACATCTAGATCCTTTGTATGCTTTTTATGTAAAAGCACACAACCTGGATCACTGGAGGGCCTGTTACCTATTACTGGTACTAGTACTAGAATAGTAGTAGTAGTAGTAGTCGTCATCGTCGTCGTCGTCGAGGCACCAACGCCTAGTAAACACAGTGCTAGTGCTCCTGCGCTTGCTGCTGCCGCTACTGCTTCCTACAATTATTTCCTATGGAATTCGCAAATTGTCTCATGTCACCTACTGCAACTGCCATTCCCTCATCTTGATCATGATGATTCCCTTATGTCTTATGATTCACAGATAGGTGGCCCTTTCCGTTTCTTTCCAAGCCCGGAGCTGATTCATCTCGGCCACATCGAGTACGTACAAACCATCGGCGTTCAAGTCCTGCCATGGCGTTCTGCATTGCTGAGGCAAGTGCGCATAGAAATCTGAGCTGTGATTGGGGTCTCTCAAAATCACTTACAACACTTCATTGCCATTTCGGGGGCGTAGAACGGGAGTGTTGCCAACATGCAAGACGTGTGGACATGCGCAGGCAGGTCCTGAACCAATGTGGCGGGAAGCTCGCCGACAGCCAGAACAATGAAAGCTCGACGCTGTGGAGCCTGACAAAAATTTAGGACACGAGTACAAACAGAGCTCAGAATTGGACGCAAGTGATTTTGCAACTGAGATCTGCTAAAGAAAAAACACTTTCGCACATCTCGTGTTCTAAAAGCTCCTTTTTCAAACGGATGTGCCAGCATTCATCTTGCACTAGCCCGGGGGGCACTGCGGCGAATCTTGGGCTGAAGTTGCTGTGTGTTCGTTGAGGCCACGCTGCTCTCGCGTGTCACCCGGTCGGCATTGAAAATGGCAGTACACCATACATTGCAGGCATTGCTTATGCCGAATCTCAGGCGGTGACGTGTGTGGCACTAGCATCCGCAAGCATACAGAGGAATCAACAAAACTGCAATGGTGCATCAACTGCATGGCAGCCTCAGCTTGTTGACTAGAACACTTGCACATCGAATCTTATGGACTGAGGTTCGACCAGCATCCGCTCTACCCTGATCGTCCGGTGACCCTTGTTCTCGATAGTGACAAGGAAGATTTTGAGAGTAGGATCCCAAACTATCAGGGGAGCGTGGTGTGAGAGGCATCATGTCTGACTCGGACTGTTTGCTTATGGTCAAACAGCGGACATTCCTTCACCCACTCCTCTCCTTCGATTTTGATTTCTGGGAACTGTGGCGTTTCAAGCCTGCTTGAGATGTTGAGCCAGGCGATCCAAGTAAGACCGCGCATCGGAACATGACATGAATGTTAGTCATTTGTCTTGTAGGCCCCTGAGTAGCCAGTCGCAAGGCACACAGTCCGTCATGTCGCAGCCCAGCTGACCGCTGCAGCTTTGGCGGCTGCTGTTGGCATAGAGCGCATGGAGGGCCTCCCACGAAACATTATAGAACACAAGTCCTTGGAGGTGGTTTCTATTTTGCAATCCAAATTGCCGGAACCTCCGTCATCGCCGCGGTGGCCGCCGAGGTGGAGGGGCTTCCTCCTCCACGAAGAGCTCCGGGTCCTGGACAAAACGCTGAGAGACGTCCTTTGCTTCTGAGGCCAGCAAGCGCCCCAGCCTCCAGGAAGCAACCAATCTGGTTTTTATCCAAATCCTGAGCAGACCATCGGTTCAGCCAGTGTTGGCAAGCAGACATCAGGACTGAGCACCATGTTCTCGCGCAGACTTCTCATTCAAGTCTTTGAGACAGGCAAGTGCAAACATTGCAGTCTGACGACCACAGACTCAATCAGCATGCCGTAGATCTCGTCGCCCTTGCGCATATCCTGTCCGTCTCTGAGGCATCTTGCATATTCTTGAACTCTCACCACAAGACTTCCCGCTCCCATCGCCTTGGCCAGTTCCTTCGACACATTGAGGCGGGCATCCTTGGTGCATCCGATGTTCACAAAGACGCCATACCTGAGAACAGCGGCAGCCTACACATCAACTGAGATATACTCAGCGAGCATCAAGTGGAGCCATCAAAAATTGCGAAGACTTGCGAAGATATGCTGCTGCCCGTAGTGGTACAAATTGCTTGCAGTTGCATACCGGACTGTTACACCCAGTCCACTAAACACCCTCTGTCCCAGCAACTGGTTCTTGTTCGTGACAATACCATCCACGCTTGCACCAACTCGGAGCTTCTCGATGGGAATGCCTGGGTCAGTTGAATAGCTCCAGATGGCAGGAAGTTCATTGGATTTCAGGACAACATCATAAGACAATCGTCAACAAAGCGTGATGTGTATCCCAGAGTCGAGGAAGGTGAACAACAGCAGAAGCGGTGCTTGGAGCATCACTCCACGACTCTTCTAGCAAATGTTGGGCAGCACTCGCCTTCATCGGCACGTCGCCCTGCGGGCGCCGGTGACGCAGCACGTGCCTTGGCCGTGGTGGTCGCCTTGGCCTGCCCATCCAATTCTGTCGTGGCCCCTCGTGCGCTCATGTCATGGCATCTTATGGTAAATCTGCCTTCGGTGCTGCCTTGGATGTTGCCGCCTTTGGTGCTGCCGCCTTTGGCGCTGCTGCCTTCGGCGCCGCTGCCTTCGGCGCAGCCTTTGCTGCCGCTTTCGTGGCTGCCTTTGGTGCTGCTTTCGGCTTGGGCGATTGCGCCCGGGCGGCAGCGGCCTGTAGAAACAGCATGTGCTTGCATCAGCGAGACCTTCACAAAGTAAGCTTGGGCCTTTGGTGCTGGCCGTGCTGGCTGTGCAGCTGCCTTTGGAGCCCTCTCCTTTCAACGAAGAGCGGGAACCGACCCACTATCTCTTGCCCTGCTAACGTAGGCTCCTTCGGTGGCAGGTGGCGCACTGCAGCCTGCTAATTGGCTTCATGGCTGTAACAAACAACAGCAGTTCAACAGCACATCGCACCATGCACCCTCAGACCCCTGCCTCTGGATCGGGTATGGACACGCTCATGCGACCCAACTCAACATCCATATTGTCGATGGTACAGTCCTGATACGTCATCCAGGAACACTCATGATGATGGCGATGGAAAGCAAGCCGGTCAAGACAAGGTTTTCCCTATAGTGGGCCCTGGCATGCAGTGGCCCGTTTGGCGTGCCCAGTCACCTCCACTTCGTCGCCTATTCGAAAGCATTGCCCGATTTCTTTCGTGACGTTCAAGCGAGCATCCCTGACCTGATTTGTGCGCGGTCTCCGCTCTCAGCAGTCTCACCATTCACTTGTGGCACACTGAGCACAGACAATGCCTTGTGCCCTTGCATGTTTGAGTACAATTGCCGAGGTGCTGCGCCGATGTCAACAAAGACACCGAAGCGGCTTACGTTGGTGACGCGGCCCTGTTGAATCGCATATGCCCTCAACACTGTTTACCCCTAGCACCAAGTGTTCAATACCTGCCTGGAAGACATCTCCCATCTGAACCTCTTCGATCGGCATGGCGCCTGACATGGCGTGGGCGACAGGGTCGTTTGGTCGCCAAGTAATCAGAAGAGCTCCAGTTCCTTCGTGATCGTACTTCAGCGGGCGTGATCTTGCCGAAGCTTGTGCCTGATCAAGCAGACTTGTGGGGGGCCATGGGACAAACTACCTACTGATGAGCTGAAAGGATCCTCAACGGCTCGCCTTTGCTGCAGGTGTTCGAGTAGCCGAACTTGCACGCTTGGGCCTGGACCAATGGCTCTTGCAACACCGGACCCCCACAATCACTCTGAATCAGCGCTTTGCCAAGGCGCTGGGGTCGTGCTTCTGCCTGTCGCGCAGAACGTCCTGAAGGGTGCATGGGACATGTGGCACTTAGCCTGATGGCTGAGCTTGAGGAATTGACCTGCACGCGGCGCAGGCGGCTCCGAGGAGGCCCGCGCCTTTGCCTCCGAATCTCTCTGAAAAAGAATGCGGTCAATTAGTTGACACTAACGAAAATGGCAGCAGAGGTACTAGGAGCTTGCAAAACCAGACACATGGGATGTGCATAGCATCTCCGTGCCTTGCCAGTCGCCTTGGCTTTTGCCTCCAGGGCACATCGCTGCAGCAGAGCCCTATGAATTCCACAATTTGCGCAAAGATCAACATGTGCACGTAGAAGCCCAACTACACAGCATCACACAGTCCAAAAAAAATCGAGACTTCGAAATTCGAAGAGTGCTCTGAGCTCCAGCCTTCGGCTCTGTCTTTGCCTGCGGCTTTGGCGACTGCGCGCGCTGAGCCGCAGCAGCCTTAGGCTTTGGCTTGGCCTGACGGGCGTGCTTCCTTCAATCAGCTCCAAAATGCTCTGAGCCGGAACGCCTGAGCCTTGCTGGCAGGGCGCGGCCCCCGCTCCTGAATCATTGCAGCTCTGGTAATCGAGGCTGGCCAGGAAGCTTTCACAATCTCTGCTAGCAGCTTTCTGCAACTCTCCAACGCACCTGACATGATGGCACCTCTCGTAATCTCCCTCATCGTGAATCCATATAAGATGGATGTGCAGACCGGCGCCTTTGGCGGCAAATCTTTGACCACAGCCTCACATCTTCTCCAGCAGCAAGTAGTCAACAGTGCAGAATGCTTCAGGTCTAGAGGCGCTGGGATTGTACAAAACACTTCGGGGGTGTGCCTCGGCATCAGGAAGCGCAGCCGCCATGCGCTGCTGCTCGAGATCCACGTTTTCTATGACACACTCCTGAATCAAGGCTTCAGAAATTCATCTCACGTCACGCGAACAAGCCGCTGTTGAGCATGTTACTACAAGAAGCAGGACAGTAAAAGTTCCCTTCCTTGCATGCAAGCATCCGAAATTGTGTCACCAATGCGAAACCGTCGTCCGATGGACGCCGGGATGTTCAGGCGAGCGTCTCTCACCTAAGATTTGTGCAGCAGGGATATAAGGTATGAGATACCCGCGTCAAGAGTTACCTTACAGCGCTTGGATATATTTATGGGAATACACTTCAAGCTAATTCCGCTGTCCCTCAAAGTGACTCTTTTCAGGACTGGCAGCGACCAGGGCCCGAACTTTGGTGAGGGGTCGTTCAGGGATTTTCCAAGCACCAGTCTCCATGGGGCACAGTACCAGCGAATGACGCTTACCCAGTCATCAATCATCTGATGCAGGCGCAGCATTCGCGAGGCCTGCGCCCGACGCGCCCAACAGTGCCTGGAACCAACCGGCGAGTATCTGTGACTTTTCCCTTCTCCCCGGCCTCTGCCCATCCTGAAAAGAAAACTCTTGCCAGGCTTCTCGCGCCCCCTTTCCCAAGCCCCTGTTCCAGCCGCCTGACTCAGCCACTTCACAGCACCTCCTTGCATGATGGCAAAACCGCAGCAAGATACAGCAAGGAGGATGTGCGCTACTCGTGTTGTTTACAATGGGCACAATCTGATGTAGTCTTCACTGTGGCCAGATTTTGCAATGCCTTGCATTGCCAGTGGCTGCTCCCACATCAACGAAAACACCATTTGGACCGACATTGGTGACGCGACCTGTCGGCAGGATTCTGCACTTAACCTATACAAGACCCGAGAAAAGCTAGCACGTTTCGAGTACTCAAGCAAGACCTCGGTCTGAAGACTTAGTCTACTGCTGGAACCGTCAGATACTTGTCAGATTTCCTGCGGCAGCTTGTGTAAATCGATGTTCCTAAACCTAAACCGTGGAAGCTAGGTTTTGAACAGGTATTGGGAATCCCCACAGGCCACGGCAACGGCGAGTCAACTCTAGGCCGCGTCAACATCAACCCTTTCAGCATAATTCCACCTCTACCACGCTTACGAACGCGATCTGCATCAGCATGATTACTAGCAGTATGCGTAGTTGAGCCGTGGCTCACCTCTGTTCTTGTTTGTGGCTCTTCTTTGATTATTGGGTATCCCCCTGTGCGCAGCTGCACCGGGCCTTCAATAACATCCCCCTCGGCGATGTCTTCTAGGGCAGTCTGGCCTGGTGCGGGCTGCTTGGCTTGTCAGGTCTTTGAAAGGGGGTTACCATTTCAAGGCATTAAGGCCTTAAGCTCCACGGTTTTCACGCGGATCAAGGTATTCTCTCAGGGATGAATACTGGGGAGTATCCGTGCCTGAAGCATGCCCAGTGATGTTCATCCCTCGATAATCTTGTAGGAGCAAGTGATGACTGTCTCCTTGAGCAATGTAGGTGCAACTCCCATTCCCGTGAAGGCCGCTGTAGCATACACTCGCGGCTTAAGGTTTCCCAGGTCTGCCAACTGTTTTCTGGATTTTCCGGACGCAAGCCGCCATATCAGGGCGCAGTGAGAAAGCGCAATGAGTGGAATGCAGACTCTGTTGACTCAATTCAAAACCCTGGACACAAAAAGCACGAAGTCTTGCTCAGTCACGAGAGCTGCGTACGAAGTTGTGGAGGGTGAACGTATGGAGCTGCATCAACTTGTGGCATGAGGGAACGTAAGGATGGTTGTCTCAAATCTACATACAATGAAGTTCGGAGGAATATGGGTGAGTTCTGGTGAGTCGATGAGGTATGCCCTTGATGAGGGTCCAAAGCCCTTGGAAGCATCCTGCCAGGAGAAGGCCACGTTGGCACAACCTCAAATTTGCTAATAGCGAGCTCCACTTTTACGAAATGCGTGACCCAACTTGAAAGCCTTAGACTCGAAGGTGAAAGGGGGTATACCATCTGCTGAACTCCATGCAAGTTTTCACGATTGTGTTGCAGATCTCGACGGCCCTCTTGTTTGCAAATGCTGGGGGCAGGTGGCCTCTTCGCTCATGGACTGCAGATACTTCGAGCCTGCTTCCAAATTCGGCCTATCCTTCATCTTGCCATTTCTCACCAGAAGCTCCCTGAGCTGAGCGAAGGTAATTGAGCAGAGCGCTACTGAAAAAGCGCTGCGCGGCAGCTTCCTGTCTCCCAGTGGGCGTTTGCGCTTTCGTGAGCGGAGTATAGCAGATCACTTTGGGTCGCATGCCAAGCATATTCACGAACAAGCCCCACAGTTGTTCAGCACGCTGCCAGTCAAAAGCGCTGCCCGTGGCATTGACAAGACTACCAAGCACGACCTCGTTAGGAGACGACTTGTACTGAACTATTTGGCACAGGAGCTCATCCAAACGCATCTGGTATCCCTGGCTCTCAAGCCAGTCAAGAACGGAAGTATTGGTCACATCTTTTTCTGAAAGGGCGGACAGTCGCTCACCCGCAAGCCACCTCGTCGCCAGCAGATGTACAAAGATTCCAGGCCCTGCCTAGGGCTTAGCAGGTTGCTTCTGGAATGCTCGGCCACATGCTCTTGCCTTTCAGCAAAGCTTCATCCTTTCTGGCGCAGTGTGCTGCCCGAAAGTCTAGCAACTTTAAGGGCAGGAGGCCAGCGCATTCAGAAGTTCAAGAAGATTGAACGCTCAACTATCCTCATGTTTTTGCCTCAACTTGCTCCAGCAGAGCATGCCACCGACGATCATTCCCACATTTCTGCATCGATGCGCCCCATCCGCAAGCTTCAATGCTTGCAACAAATCTACGGGAGCTCTTGTTTTCTTCAAGCTATAGAGCCAGCGAGAGTACGACGGGTTGCGAGTAGTTGTCGGCATATCAGATGAATTCCCAGGCGCTATCAAGAAGTGTGGCTGGCCCTCGTGCTTACGTCGATAGCCCTGTGAATGCATAGGTATGCGTTGGCCTCTGAATTGCCCGGCTGCGCTTGTTGGAAGGCACTTCCTGTCGTCTCGAGTGGGCATCACGTGGAAGACAGGGATGCTTCTTGCCCTGGTAGCTTTTGGCATCCTGTCTGCCACCCAAGATGCTGGACATTGGGTTAGAGGCCGCGTCATCCCCTCCAGTTGCTCAATGCCTGCCGACTTTACCTTGAGAGCGCAGCCTCGGAAGCCTTTTCGGTCTCCGGCTCGTTGGAGGGCAGAAACCACCAGATGTTTTTTAGCTGCTGCTATTGTTTGCTAGCACCAGCTCTTGATATTATTTGGGCCGTTTGGGTCCAGAAAACCAAGAACTTGCTAGATTGCATGCTTCTGAATGTTGAGCTTCCTGATCTGCAGCGATGGAATCCTTCCTTCGCACCATAGGAAAAAAGTACACCCCTGTACCTATCATGCAAGACCTCCGATAGCCCTGTCAGAGGAACTTTCATAGAGAAACCTGGACCCGCAATCATGTAAACTTCGGCACAGGTCCATCCTAAATCATGGTGCTCCAGCTCAGCAACCTGAACCTAAAAGGGGTCACATCCATATACTATAGGAGTCGCCCTAACCAGCCTGGGTGGTCCCAAGTCTTCTTGGGTCGACTGCGCGTCCTGGTGACTGGGCCAGGCAAGCAGCTTGTGGCTAATGTGGCTATGGCCGCTGACTGGCCCTCAGCTATTGCAATGCGGGCCTCATGCTCATTCGAACCTACATGTTCCATTCGACACCTAGTGGCCTAAACCTGTGCCATTCATTCAAAGCTTCACCACAGAACTTCAAGTTGACGCGTTGCAGGGTTTTGGTGTTTCAAGACACTCTGACAACCTGAGGCCTGAGACCCAGCAGGATTGCTCTGCATCGTATTCAACTGCAAATAAGGACATGGTGTATCAAGACTAAGTCCTGCAGGACTGCAAGAGCAAGGTAGGGGCCGCATTGTACACCTTTGTGCATGGCCGCTGGCTCTAAGGAATCCTCTGCAGGAAGTAGATTCGGCAGATTTTGCATAGCCTTCGCATCCTCATGGCTTCCTACATTTGACGCGGAAACTGTCGCGCCACGTTAAAGTCCCTAAAGCATTGTAGCCCCTAGGAATTGTGGGGTTTGGGGTGGTACAAGATTCCTGTCAAAAGTAGACATGATTGGTTGTCAAGGCCAGCAGCCCCTGCTAGGACTACTATCATGTTTACTCGTTTATTCTGCCCGCTCAGCTGCTAGAATCATCACAGTCGTACAGAAAGTAATCCTGCCCCTGCTCTCATGATTTGTCTACAGACCAAAGGTGTTTGTCTTCGTGTGTTAGTATTCTTGTTTTTACTATGAATATCACTGTTGTTGTTTTTCCGTCATTACTATTATGAGACTATTATGAGCATGAGTACTATTAATATGATTGTTATTAAGTAGTTCGATATGAGAACCTACGGAACAATAATCCTATGCACGTCCATTCCCTGTCCAGGATGTAAGCTGATTGATGAACCTTCCTCCGACGTTGATATGCGTGCAGTGTCATCCCAATCCCAGAAACCTTTAAGGATCGGAGCGGGGTTCCAACATTAGGTGTCCTCTCCTCGGAATCCAGAAAACTAGTAGTGTAGCATATTGGGGTCTACATTTGGGCCCTCCATAAATAGAAACCACCATCTACAGGATCCCCAGCATCCCTGTGGTTCTGGGCCTTGTGGCTGCTTTCGGCGCTGCCCGGCTCTTCGACTGGGCGGACTTACGTGGCCTGGAAAGGAAGCAGTGCTGGTGTCGTGGCTTCATCTTACGTGATGTATGGTTTGGAGGAAGATAGGTTGGATTATGCGGGGATGGTTTGAGATGAGCTAGCGACTCAGATATTTCAACTGCTTAGCTGCAGGGGCGGCCGTGCGTTTCCACTGCATCAAGTCCCGAAAAGCTCAACACTGTTGCAAATGACTCCGTAGCGATGACAAAAGGTTTCAAAGACATTTATGGTACAGCAAG